TTCAATATTCCACTTCTCCAATGGTGAAAAATCTTTATATTGCTGCAGACGAAGCTGTTACTTCAAGAAAGTGTGACAGTCGAATGGCCAGCTTTCAGGCTTGTTTTGAGGACATCACTGACCTGGGAAGAGCTCTGTTGCCTTCCATGTTCTCTTATTGATTGAATCTATTCCTCAACACTCTCTCAAAATGGATTGGCTGTGAAAAGAATATGTCAGAGGGGTGTGGGTGTGTATGGCAACCTGGAATATTGATCTTGTCAGGCACGAACAACTTTGTTTTGATTTGAACAGCAATGCAGCAGCAATGCACTAGAACCCAATGCACTGGGGCGTTATTAGATTCTAGACTGTCATCGCTCTACCTGACAGGGTCAAATTGCATGAATTCTCTCCCAATGTTTTTTTCCATACTATTTTAAAGCAAGTTTAATGTAAGGTGATGTATTTTAGAACCTGGATCTAGCCTAATACCGTTTAGGTTTGGGAGCAAGTTGACTCATAAAATAGCCTACTGCCAAACCTTTTTTAATGACTGTCTATTTGATGACAGGATACAGTCAGTGGAGGCAGCCTGCTCATTTGGTCCCTATCCCTGTAATGGTGACATCAGATGCGAGGGATGCTTCCTCAATATGAGTAATGCATTATAAGCTATGGGAAGACTGACTACAACGATTCTAACGTGTTAGTTCTTTCCCTGCTCCCTCTTTAAATACTAAGAGGAGTGGCAAGAAAACAAACTATTGCAAAACAAAACGGACTCTTACAAATGGTTCCAAAACTTCTGCTGTAGGTTATTGCCCATATAATTAGGAATTAGAATACGAGAATGGACTTGAAGCTTCTTATGATGGTCAGCCATGTTGGTCAGGGAGTTGGCCAACCATGGTTTGCCTGCCAATGTCGTGATAAGATATTGTGTAAAACAATGAATGTGAAGAATTAATCTGTACTGTATGTGTGTTAGCCAGCCAGTTTTAGAGGAATGATTCCATATATCTTTCAAATTAACTGCCAATATGCCAACATTCCACAGCCATACACTGGCCCAAATCAGTTGATGATAGGACTTAGACAAGTTGTAAATGCAACAAGTAGTGATATTGTATCATATAATAGCACTCACAGCTTTACAAGGAAACATTTTTCGAGTCATTTATGGTCTGTTTACATATATTTATACATAATTATATGACAGTATTTTAGGTTGACTATAATTCCATTAAACATATGTCTGATACATCACATGCCCAATTTACGTTTCCTGCATAAGTAAAAGCAGGAAATGCATCACTTATGCATCTACTGCCATTCATTCCAATTAGACTGGTTTTGGATTTCTCCCTGACCAAGATGGCTGCTATTTTCGCCCCATTACTGAACTTTGAGGGTTAATGACAGAACCCCTCTAGTAATTTAATAGGAACTCTACCCTAGTTGATGATGCCCTTGTTGTTGAATTTCATCAATAAGTTTGAATGCTGACTGAAGTAGTCCAATGTTGTATGAAAGTCCTCTGTAGCTCAGCTGGTAGAGCACGGCGCTTGTAACGCCAAGGTAGTGGGTTCGATCCCCGGGACCACCCATACACAAAAAATTTATGCACGCACGACTGTAAGTCGCTTTGGATAAAAGCGTCTGCTAAATGGCATATTATTATTATTATTATTATTATTATTATTATTATTATTATATTATATTATATTATTATAAAGTAACATATCGTCCCATATAGATTGCAAAATAGTTGGGAAGAGATTTTTGACGTATCGATCCCATGGCATAGTGTTTATGAACTGATACGCAAAACGACACCGGATTCAAAACTTAGAATCTTTCAATTTTAAATTATTATATAAATTCTTGCTACCAATAGAATGTTATTTATATGGGGGATACAATCTTCCCAGCTCTGCAGATTTTGCTGCGAAGAGACAGAATCATTAGATCATTTGTTTTGGTACTGTCCATTTGTAGCTTGTTTTTGGACACAGGTCCAGGAATGGCTAAAGGATTGCAATATTTACCTGGAGCTAACCTTGCAGATAGCATTACTGGGTGATCTGAAAAGTCATAGTCAATCGATCAATAATATAATAATACTTTTAGCAAAAATGTTTATTTTCAATTCACAATCTGTAGAAACAATGAGAATAGAAAGGTTCAGAACTTTTGTAAAACATCACAGTACAGTGGAAAAATATATGGCAAATAGAAATCCTATATGGATGGTGTTAAGAGATAGATGGGAGGTGTTGAATGGAGTTGAAGGATGGGACTAATAACAACTAACAACAAATAATAACAAGATAACTAATAATGTAAGCATACTGTGTCCATAATAAGTATATAGGTTGTAGGTTGGGAGCTTTTGTAAAAGAGCACAGTTAGAAAGATATGGCATATAGAAGCAAACCGGATGGACATCATGAAAATGATCAGAGAGGTTGAGAGTAGAAGAAGTTCAGGAGAAAAATAAACAAAATATAATTATTGTAAAATTGACTGTGTCCATAAAATGTAGATAGTAAGTATAAGCTGTAAGTAGAGGCCTAAGCATTGTCGTTCACTAGTTTACTCCAAGTAGGGAAAGGGTGGTGGGGTTGGAAAGTAATAAAGGGGAATATATTTTTTTTAAAGGATATGTATGTATGTATGTATGTATGTATGTATAAATAAACATGGGGGATTGGAAGTGATGCAGACAATTACATAGATTGTAACTCTCATCAATCTGCAATATTAAGCTGATCTACCCAAAAAACAACAACAACAAAAAACATATCGTGGTAACAATTATGTTCTTGCTAATAAGGTCTTTCTTCTGTTTCTGCACAGGGAGAAGAGAATTTGTCCAGCGGCTGAAACTCGAAGCGACGCTCAATGTTCACGATGGCTGTGTGAGTACACATTACCCACCGTGTGTGGCTGTGGTGTACTCTGTGCACATAACTGTCCCTCCTTGTATCTTTAGAGCACGTCACTCTCCCTGCTCTGTCTGTCTGTCTGTCTGTCAGTCAGTGTGTGAAACCCTGTGTCTGACAGACAGAAAGTAGAGCTCAGCCAGGCACTGCTGTGACAGTGAGTGTTGAGCTATGGCCAGACTGTTGATACTCTGTAAACCTGAGGCATCCATACGGCCAGTCACCCGTCCTGTCACACTGTCACCCTGCCAATCACTCCTTCTACCACTGCACAACAACTTCAAACAGCCTGATGCTGGTTTGGGTCAAGGATTCTGTCCTTCTCATCCTGTCTGTTCAGTTGGTTGGAGGAAAATAAAGAGAAACGATAAAGGATTGATGAAACTTCTGAAATAGTACAAACAAAATGTCTGCCATACGGAATCCCCTCGTACAACTTGCTGCCACATTCCCGGATTGTAGGCTACATACACATAATCGTTCAGTTAAATTGCGTTGACTTTATTCTCTCAAACCAGTAGCTCAGAAGAGTTTATGCCATATCGCTCCCACCTACCAAGTCCTTATCAGTGCATATGAAGGATGCGAAGGAGACTTAAAGAAGCCATTTATTTTTTTACCGTCTGTCCGCTTACTGAATCGCGAGGACCTGTCTGTCTCCGCGAGGACCTGTCTGTCTCTCGTCTTGGATACCTGAAGCCACTTGAGCTGTCAACCCCTGTCTCCCATCAACAGTGACGGAGGAAGAAGGGACCTCCAACGTGTGTTACTGGCGCCATTCTGACTCACAACCCCTATTAGGCCGGTACGAGTGACATGAGGGTGTGTTGATGCTGGTGGCCATCACTTTTCAGTTTCTCAAATCCCAGCACGACCTCTACTGCAGGAGATGTTAAAAGACTTAAGTTGGAAGAGATACATGTAGGCTAAATCTACTCTGTAGATAACATTACTGTACTGAAGTACTGGATCACAGTAGTAGCATAATGCATAATGTATTGTCATGTCGGCTGTTATTACACTTGACTTGACTAAAAGACCGAGTTCTTAATCAGCCCCTTTCCCCTTGTTTCTACTATTCAGATCTGAATTTCTAAAGTGGATTTAGGGGGAGCTTGTGCCATATTGCTGCGCACACCTATCCACTTTCTATAGATCTGCATCACAGGGGCACACTGAGTGGTCTGGGTGGCATAAGGACTCTGACCTAGACACAGACACACAGTATTCCTACAGAGTGCCATCAAGTAGTATCAGTATTACAACACAACGGACAAAATAATGAGTGCTGCATGTGATGTGATAGGTCAATTTTAGGTTTAAGCTACAGTCTGCTTGAACAGAAAGATGGTGGTTGTTGTCATAGTGATGATGACGATGATCTCCTCAAGTTCATGTTAGCAACAACCTTCACTCACCACATAATGCTAGGCCAGAAGAAATGGAATATGCAAGATAAGAAATATGAAAAACATCTCCCACCACCAATGATATTAACGGCAACAGGTTTTTTTTCAGTGTGTAGCTTATTTATTACCCAATCTAGGCCAACATTTTTACAATACTTTTCTGAAACATCAAATGTTGTCCTTTTTCTAAGGGGATACCGGTGAACAGCAGTGTAGTCTTTCCTAGCATGCCTGTGTTGTCCTGGCAACTACTGAAACACAGTATTTAGCAGAGTGGTGAAAACACACTGTCTTCTTACCCCCTTGGGAGAGACTTTAGCGTTCTTTATCAGTAACCTATAATCTGTCTGTTTCCAATGCATGCATCATGACATATCCCACATTTAGAGTGACCTGCCTTTTGTGTCTGTCTCTTTCTAATATAAACCATCCACCATAGCTCTAATTGCAGCACGTGTGTTATTTTAGCACGAAACACACCACTCTTATTCAGCTAATGTACTTTCTCAGACAGTGCTGCGAGCAGTTTCTCTGAAAATGACGGCCGTTCTGTGAAAATGCAATAACATTTACAGTGTTTTGAAAGCTGTTCGACAAGGGAAGGACAGTAAAACATGACCGGGGATCAAATGGGGATTAAATCACCCAGAAATACTATTTGGGAATGGCAAGGTAGGGGGAGGAGGGGTCCAGTTGGGTTTGGCAATGAAGAGGGATTGTGTGACCAACCTTGTTGCACACTGATGGGGCTTGCCCTAGAAATAGAGGTAAGAGAGTGTATCAAACTCTGCTGGAGAACTTAATGAATTATTGATCTACGGTCGCGAAGACACAACGCCTAGAGAAGGCATGGATTGTGTGCTCTGTGTTGCAGATGTAGAATGTTCCATTATACGCTGAACAAAAATATAAACGCAACATGCAACAATTTCAAAGATCTTACTGAGTTACAGTTCATATAAGGAAATCAGTCAATTGAAATCAATTCACTGACTGGGAATACAGATATGCATCTGTTGGTCACAGATACCTTAAAAAAAGGTAGGGGCGTGGATCAGAAAACCAGTCAGTATCTGGTGTGACCACCATTTACCTCGTGCAGTGCGTCACATCTTCACATGGAGTTGATCAGGCTGTTGATTGTGGCCCGTGGAATGTTGTCCCACTCCTCTTCAATGCTTTTGCGAAGTTGCTGGATGTTGGCGGGAAGTGGAACACACTATTGTACACCGATCTAGAGCATCCCAAACATGCTCAATGGGTGTCATGTCTGGTGAGTATGCAGGCCAGATTTTCATGCTAGCAGGAATTGTGTTTAGGTCCTTGTGACATGGGGCTGTGCATTATCATGCTGAAACATGAGGTGATGCCTGCAGATGAATGGCACGACAATGGGCCTCAGGATCTCGTCACAGTATCTCTGTGCATTCAAATTGCCATCGATTTAAAATGCAATTGTGTTCGTTGTCCGTAGCTTATGCTTGCCCATACCATAACCGCACCGCCTCCGTGGGGCACTCTGTTCACAACGTTGACATCAGCAAACCGCTCGCCCACATGACGCCATACACGCTGAATGCCATCTGCCCGGTACAGTTGAAACCGGGATTCATCCGTGAAGACCACACTTCTCCAGCGTGCCAGTGGCCATCAAAGGTGAGCATTTTCCCACTGAAGTCTTATGACGCCAAACTGCATTCAGGTCAAGACCCTGTTGAGGACGACAAGCACGCAGATGAGCTTCCCTGAGACGGTTTCTGACAGTTTGTGCAGAAATTCTTCGGTTGTGCAAACCCACAGTTTCATCAGGCATGTCCGGGTGGCTGGTCTCCGACGATCCCGCAGGTGAAGAAGCCGGATGTGGAGGTCCTGGGCTGGCGTGGTTACACGGCATCTGTGATTGTGAGGCAGGTTGGACGTACTGCCAAATTCCCCAAAACGACGTTGGAGGTGGCTTATGGTAGAGGAATTAACATTAAATTCTCTAGCAACAGCTCTGGGGGACATTCCTGCAGTCAGCATGCCAATTGCACACTCCCTCAACTTGAGACATCGTGGCATTGTGTTGTGTGACAAAACTGGACATTTTAAAGTGGCCTTTTGTCCCCAGCGCAAGGTGCACCTGTGTAATGATCATGCTGTTTAATCAGCTTCTTGATATGCCACACCTGTCAGGTGGGTGGATTATCTTGGCAAAGGAGAAATGCTCACTAACAGGGATGTAAACAAATTTGTGCAAAAATCTGCAAGAAATAAGCTTTTTGTGCACATGAAACATTTCTGGGATCTTTTATTTCAGCTCATAAAACATGCGACCAACACTTTACACGTTGCGTTTTATATTTTTGTTCAGAATAGTTTGTTTCTCATCTGAACGTTCACCTGGTTTCTATGTGATCGAGGGACAGTGACGCATTGATGTTCCACCTTAGATTGGGTTAGGAATTCCACAGTTGTAGACAAAGTTGTTTTCAGTATTATTATGTGTGTAGGCCAAGAGTGAACTCACACAGTGTATTTTGTCCCAATCAGGTCAATACCATATCCTGGAACGACACTGGAGAGTACATCCTGTCAGGGTCGGACGATACCAACCTGGTCATCACAAACCCATACAACAGAAAGGTAAGGAGTTACTCTGATTTTAGTTCAGTTTATTTATTTACACAAAAAAGACAAGTGAAAATTAAACAGTGCAGGTAAAAAAACAAGATGGAGAAAGAAAAGTGTGCAGGTTAGGTTGGAAACACGAGGGCTTATATGAAAACCAGAGAAAAAACCAATATATACAAAACAGATTATTCAATCAAACATATACAAATGTACTGTATGCAGATAAACCTTATATGACCTTACATCGCCACATCCTGTTATTACACAGTTACATGATCGACCTGGGGTGAAATTATCCTGTTATTACAGTTACATGGTCGACCTGGGGTGAAATGATAATGGATTGGATTGATAGATAGTGCTTTACTAGGTGCTCATTATATGGAGGAGAGCTCACCTACTGAAAGATCTTTATCGCTGATAAAGATGGACAGAGAAAAAAACTGACTGAGTAGATATAAACCTCCCATCAGCTTAACCAACAGTCAAAGAAATTGGCTGGCGAGTGATTCTGAAAATCATAAGTAACAATTGCTGATCTAACCTCTGTCTCTTGTGTTGATATGGAACATGACCTTGGCCAATTGGGTGCTTTGGAATCTCGTTTGATTCTTTCAGTGCCCGGCTATGCATCATGTATACCCGCTTCTATTTTACAATATTTTCCAATCACTTACACTACCGGTCAAAAGTTTTAGAACACCTACTCATTCAAGTGTTTTTATTTATTTTTACCATTTTCTACATTGTAGAATAATAGTGAAGACATCAAAACTATGAAATAACACATATGGAATCATGTAGTAACCAAAAAAGTGTTAAACAAATCAAAATATATTTTATATTTGAAATTCTTCAAATACCCACCCCTTGCCTTGATGACAGCTTTGCACACTCTTTGCATTCTCTCAACCAGCTTCATGAGGTAGTCATCTGGAATGCATTTCAATTAACAGGTGTGCCTTCTTAAAAGTTAATTTGTGGAATCTCTTTCCTTAATGTGTTTGAGCCAATCAGTTGTGTTGTGACAAGGTAGGGGGGGGGGGTATACAGAATATAGCCCTATTTGGTAAAAGACCAAGTCCATATTATGGCAAGAACAGCTCAAATAAGCAAAGAGAAATGACAGTCCATCATTACTTTAAGACATGAAGGTCAGTCAATACGGAACATTTCAAGAACTTTTAAAGTTTCTTCAAGTGAAGTCGCAAAAAACATAAAGCGCTATGATGAAACTGGCTCTCATAAGGACCGCCACAGGAATGGAAGACCCGGAGTTACCTCTGCTGCAGAGGATACGTTCATTCGAGTTGCCAGCCTCAGAAATTGCAGCCCAAATAAAAGCTTCACAGAGTACAAGTAACAGACACATCTCAACATAAACTGTTCATTCGAGACTGTGTGAATCAGGCCTTCATTGTCGAATTGCTGCAAAGAAACCACTACTAAAGGACACCAATAATAAGAAGAGACTTGCTTGGGCCAAGAAACACGAGCAATAGACATTAGACCGGTGGAAATTTGTCCTTTGGTCTGGAGTCCAAATTGGAAATTTTTGGTTCCAACTGCCATGTCTTTGTGAGACGCGGTGTGGGTGAACGGATGATCTCCGCATGTGTGGTTCCCACCGTAAAGCATGGAGGAGGAGGTGTTATGGTGTGGGGGTGCTTTGCTGGTGACACTGTCTGTGATTTATTTAGAATTCAAGGAACACTTAACCAGCATGGCTACCACAGCATTCTCCAACAATGCACCATCCCATCTGGTTTTGTCTTAGTGGGACTATCATTTGTTTTTCAACAGGACAATGACCCAACACACCTCCAGGCTGTGTAAGGGCTATTTTACCAAGAAGAAGAGTGATTGAGTGCTGCATCAGATGACCTGGCCTCCACAATCACCCGACCTCAACCCAATTGAGATGGTTTGGGATGAGTTGGAAAAGCAGCCAACAAGTGCTCAGCATATGTGGGAACTCCTTCAAGACTGTTGTAAAAGCATTCCAGGTGAAGCTGGTTGAGAGAATGCCAAGGGTGTGCAAAGCTGTCATCAAGGAAAAGGGTGGCTATTTGAAGAATTTGTTTCACACTTTTTTGGTTACTACATGATTCCATATGTGTTATTTCATAGTTTTGATGTCTTCACTATTATTCTACAATGTAGAAAATAGTAAAAATAAAGAAAAACCCTTTTTTTGGAATTTAGCCAGGACACCAGGGTTAATGAGTAGGTGTTCTAGGTGTTCTAAAACTTTTGACCGGTAGTGTATATTTGGTAAGCATCTCAGTCAGCAGCATACCACCCTGCATCCCGCTGCTGGCTTGCCTCTGAAGCTAAGCAGGGTTGGTCCTAGATGGAAGACTGGGTGCTGCTGTAAGTGGTGTTGGAGGGCCAGCAGGAGGCACTCTTTCAGGGCAGTGATTGGGGACATTGCCCTGTGTAGGGTGCAGTCTTTCGGATGGGACGTTAAACCGGTGTCCTGACTCTGTGGTCAGTAAAGATCCCATGGCACATCGTAAGAGTAGGGGTGTTAACCCTGGTGTCCATACATTTACATTTACATTTTACATTTTAGTCATTTAGCAGACGCTCTTAACCAGAGCGACTTACAGGAGCAATTAGGGTTAAGTGCCTTGCTCAAGGGCACATTAACGTCATTTAGCAGACGCTCTTAGCCAGAGCGACTCACAAATTGGTGCGTTCACCCTATAGCCAGTGGGATAACCACTTTACAATTTGGGGGGGGGTTAGAAGGAATACTTTAGCCTATCCCAGGTATTCCTTAAAGAGGTGGGGTTTCAAATGTCTCCGGAAGGTGGTGAGTGACTCCGCTGTCCTGGCGTCGTGAGGGAGCTTGTTCCACCATTGGGGTGCCAGAGCAGCGAACAGTTTTGACTGGGCTGAGGGGGAGCTGTGCTTCCGCAGAGGAAGGGGAGCCAGCAGGCCAGAGGTGGATGAACGCAATGTCCTCGTTTGGGTGTAGGGACTGATCAGAGCCTGAAGGTACAGGGGTGCCGTTCCCCTCACTGCTCCAAAGGCAAGCACCATGGTCTTGTAGCGGATGCGAGCTTCAATTGGAAGCCAGTGGAGTGTGCGGAGGAGGGGGGGTGACGTGAGAGAACTTGGGAAGGTTGAACACCAGACGGGCTGCGGCATTCTGGATGAGTTGTAGGGGTTTAATGGCACAGGCAGGGAGCCCAGCCAACAGCGAGTTGCAGTAGTCCAGACGGGAGATGACAAGTGCCTGGACCAGGACCTGCGCCGCTTCCTGTGTAAGGCAGGGTCGCACTCTCCGAATGTTGTAGAGCATGAACCTGCAGGAGCGGGTCACCGCCTTGATGTTGGCGGAGAACGACAGGGTGTTGTCCAGGGTCACGCCTAGGCTCTTCGCACTCTGGGAGGAGGACACAGCGGAGTTGTCTACCGTGATGGCGAGATCATGGAACGGGCAGTCCTTCCCGGGGAGGAAGAGCAGCTCCGTCTTGCCAGGGTTCAGCTTGAGGTGGTGATCCGTCATCCATACTGATATGTCTGCCAGACATGCAGAGATGCGATTCGCCACCTGGTGATCAGAAGGGGGAAAGGAGAAGATTAGTTGTGTATCGTCAGCGTAGCAATGATAGGAAAGGCCATGTGAGGATATGACAGAGCCAAGTGACTTGGTGTATAGGGAGAAAAGGAGAGGGCCCAAAACCGATCCCTGGGGGACACCAGTGGTGAGAGCACGTGGTGCGGAGACAGCTTCCCGCCACGCCACTTGGTAGGAGCGACCGGTCAGGTAGGACGCAATCCAGGAGTGAGCCGCGCCGGAGATGCCCATTTCGGAGAGGGTGGAGAGGAGGATCTGATGGTTCACAGTATCAAAGGCAGCAGACAGATCTAGAAGGACAAGAGCAGAGGAGAGAGAGTTAGCTTTAGCAGTGCGGAGAGTCTCTGTGACACAGAGAAGAGCAGTCTCAGTTGAATGACCAGTCCTGAAACCTGATTGGTTTGGATCAAGAAGGTCATTCTGAGAGAGATAGCAAGAGAGTTGGCTAAAGACGGCACGCTCAATAGTTTTGGAAAGAAAAGAAAGAAGGGATACTGGTCTGTAGTTGTTGACATCAGTGGGGTCGAGTGTTGGTTTTTTGAGAAGGGGAGTAACTCTCGCTCTCTTGAAGACGGAAGGGACATGGCCAGCGGTCAAGGATGAGTTGATCAGCGAGGTGAGGTAGGGGAGAAGGTCACCGGAGATGGTCTGGAGAAGGGAGGAGGGGATGGGGTCAAGCGGGCAGGTTGTTGGGCGGCCTGCAGTCACAAGTCGCAGGATCTTATCTGGAGAGAGAGGGGAGAAAGAAGTCAAAGCATAGGGTAGGGCAGTGTGAGCAGGACCAGCAGTGTCATTAGGCTTAACAAACAAGGATCGGATGTCGTCAACCTTCTTTTCAAAGTGGTTGACGAAGTCATCCACAGAGAGAGAGGAGGGGGGGAGGGGGGGGGGGAGGATTCAGGAGGGAGGAAAATGTGGCAAAGAGCTTCCTAGGGTTAGAGGCAGATGCTTGGAATTTAGAGTGGTAGAAGGTGGCCTTAGCAGCAGAAACAGATGAAGAAAATGTAGAGAGGAGGGAGTGAAAAGATGCCAGGTCGGCAGGGAATTTAGTTTTCTTCCATTTCCGCTCCGCTGCCCGGAGCTCTGTTCTGTGAGCTCGCAATGAGTCATCAAGCCACGGAGCTGGAGGGGAGGACCGAGCCGGCCGTGAGGATAGGGGACACAGAGAGTCAAAGGATGCAGAAAGGGAGGAGAGGAGGGTTGAGGAGGCAGAATCAGGAGATTGGAGGGAGAAGGATTGAGCAGAGGGAAGAGATGATAGGATGGAAGAGGAGAGAGTAGTGGGAGAGAGAGAGCGAAGGTTGCGGCGGCGCATTACCATCTGTGTAGGGGCGGAGTGAGTAGTGTGGGAGGAGAGTGAGAGAGAAAAGGAAACAAAGTAGTGGTCGGAGACTTGGAGGGGAGTTGCAGTGAGATTAGTAGAGGAGCAGCATCTAGTGAAGATGAGGTCAAGCGTATTGCCTGCCTTGTGAGTAGGGGGGGACGGTGAGAGGGTGAGGTCAAAAGAGGAGAGGAGTGGAAAGAAGGAGGCAGAGAGAAATGAGTCAAATGTGGACATAGGGAGGTTGAAATCCCCCAAAACTGTGAGGGGTGAGCCATCCTCAGGGAAGGAACTTATCAAGGCGTCAAGCTCATTGATGAACTCTCCAAGGGAACCTGGAGGGCGATAGATGACAAGGATATTAAGCTTAAATGGGCTAGTGACTGTGACAGCATGGAATTCAAATGAGGAGATAGACAGATGGGTTAGGGGAAAAATTGAGAATGTCCACTTGGGAGAGATGAGGATTCCTGTACCACCACCCCTCTGACCAGATGCTCTCGGGGTATGCGAGAACACATGGTCAGACGAGGAGAGAGCAGTAGGAGTAGCGGTGTTTTCAGTGGTGATCCATGTTTCCGTCAGCGCCAGGAAGTCGAGGGACTGGAGGTTGGCATAGGCTGGGATGAAGTCAGCTTTGTTGGCAGCAGAACGGCAGTTCCAGAGGCTGCCTGCGACCTGGAACTCCACGTGGGTGGTGCGTGCAGGGACCACCAAATTGGAGAGGCAGCAGCCACGCGGTGTGGTGCGTTTGTGTAGCCTGTGCAGAGAGGAGAGAACAGGGATAGGCAGAGGCATAGTTGACAGGCTGTAGCAAATGGCTACAAAAATGCAGAGGAGATCGGAATGAAATGGGCTAAGCATCTGGGAGTGGAGAGAGCAGGGCCTCCCTCACCAAATCTTCTAGCTCGGAAACTAAAATTGTTTCACTGAACCACCCGAACAAAAACTCTCCCAACTTCCGCCTTTGGAAATCAGAATTGTTGTGAACCACAGCGGTTCAATGTTTAAAGGAGTAGACTCAACCCACTTTGTTCAGCTAGCCAACTATGACTCCATAGCCAACTAGCAGACTAGCATCCAATAACAATAACACACCGTTTAGCGCCAACACTTGGTCACAACAAACCACCAATATTGTGATATCACACTAAACAGATCATTCGTGTCTGTGTCAAGTTCCTTATATGACGCAGCAATGATTAGACGTTGGCTAGCTAGGACAAGTAAATTGTGGTTAACTACTACAGTACAGCCAAATGGTCATGTTGGGTAGCTAGCAATGGCCACTGTGTCGACTCTGTTTGAAGAACGGCTAGCTAGCTAGCTTCGTGCTACAGCTGGCACGGCCGAGGACACTGCCAAGACACAGTAACTACCCACAACAACCCACGAAGCCTAGCTATGACGCCGTAGCCAACCTGCAAGCTAGCATCCATTAACACACAACTTAGCATCAACACCTGGGCACAACAAACTGCCAAGAGTGTGTCAGCACACCAAACAGACAATTCAAGTCCGTGTCGAGTTCCCTTCACAACGCAGCAAAAAAAAAAAATAATAATAATAATAATAATAATAATTAAACGTTGGAACCAGCTCTCCAGCGTTGCTAATCGTTACCAATAGCTACCCGCTAGCTAGCTAGCCTCGTGCCTCGATACTAGTCCACAATTACCTATGGAAAGCTACTACAACCACAATACTAACCTACAATAAATTCAATACCTAACTACAGCTAGCTACCTACCTACGATCTAATACATGGTTAAGCAAAAGTTAAACGTTGGGTAGGAGTACATTACCGTTGGAACCAGCTCTCCAGCGTTGCTAATCGTTACCAATAGCTACCCGCTAGCTAGCTAGCCTCATGCCTCGAAACTAACCCACAAATTACCCACGGAAAGCTACAATAACAACAATACTAACCTACAATAAATACAATACCTAACTACAGCTAACTACCTACCTACGATCTAATACATGGTTAAGCTTTACTCAACACTACATGTAACTTACCTACTTACCTACTTACCTCCAGCCAGAGAAAAACACGTCCTCTCCCGTCAGCTGCAGCATACTTCATAGATTTAATAGAAAAAGCCACCTAATCATGGCCACCTAATCATCCCCAGCTTCCAATTGGCTCATTGATTTCCTCTCACCTGTAACTATTCCCCTGGTCGTTGCTGTAAATGAGAATGCTCTCAGTCAATTTACCTGGTAAAATAAGGGCAAAAAAAGAACAAGTCGGACACAGATCAACTGACCAGAATGTTTTTTCGGGATTGAGTTGACGAAGCATGGGAGAGTAGAACCAAGGTCTCCCTTTTTAGTCAGAAGAGGGAGCAACTCATCCCAGTAGTCTTCAATGCAGATGAGGAGGATACCAGGAGAGGGAGCCACTTAAGACTATTGGGACGCACCTATAGAACCGAGCCAACCCACACACACACACACTCTCACACACACACATACACACATACACACCACTGCAACTTGCTACACGCTCTCCTCTCTGAAACTCTCCTCAGGTCAAGGCAACCATACGGTCGGGTCACCGGGCGAACATCTTCAGTGCTAAGTTCATGCCTCAGACCAGTGACCAGCAGATCATCTCGTGCTCTGGGGACGGTATCATCTACTACACCCACACAGAGAAGAGCCCTGACATCAACAGGCAGTGCCAGTTCACCTGCCACTATGGAACAGCCTACGAGGTACTGTACACAAGGGTTTCTCAACTTGTTGGAACTATATCTTTTTGTGTGGCAGGTGAAATAAGTTGAGGGGAGCTACCCAAATGTTAATTTCTTTCACATTTTCCTTTTTCATCTTCTCCCTCCCTTTTCATTTCCTCTGCCACCGCCCTCTTTCCCTTCACCTCGTGCTGCTCCTTCCTCCTGTTCTCCTTATAGATTATGACGGTACCCAACGACCCCTACACGTTCCTGTCGTGTGGGGAGGACGGCACCGTGCGCTGGTTCGACCTGCGCACGAAGACCAGCTGTACTAAAGAGGACTGCAAAGACGTAAGGAAGGAGAGAAATAAATCAACGTTTTATTTTTCTAAATCTACATTTGTATTTGATTTTGAACATAGAACCTTCAAAGAACAACAATCAAGACTTTTCTCTTACTTTTGATCTATTATTTGGCCTCTTGTGTTTAATGTCAGCATATTCTGCTTATTTTATATTCTTGTTTTTAAATCATATATCACACCTCTTTCCAGATCTCCAGATTATTATTATTTTTGCCCACGGTGGTGGTGTTTACTGTCTCTCCCTCTCACCAGGACATCCTGATTAACTGTCGACGGGCGGCGACGTCTATTTCCATCAGTCCGCTGGTGCCCTATTACCTGGCGGTGGGCTGCTCCGACAGTTCCGTACGCATCTACGACAGACGCATGCTGGGCACCAGGGCTACGGGTAACAACCATCTCTGTCCTCTCATGGAGCTCTCCCACTCTGTTTACCGCTCTGCGTGTCTGTCTGTCTTTGTTGTCCATCTCTGTCCTCTCATGTAGCTCTCCCACTCTGTTTACCGCTCTGCGTGTCTGTCTGTCTTTGTTGTCCATCTCTGTCCTCTCATGTAGCTCTCCCACTCTGTTTACCGCTCTGTGTGTCTGTCTGTCTTTGTTGTCCATCTCTGTCTGTCTGAATTCCGATCAGTAGATATAGTGGTCTCCAGAAGTATTGGGACAGTGCCACATTTTTTGTTTTGGCTCTGTACTCCAGCACTTTGGATTTGAAATTATATTAATGACTATGAGGTTAAAGTGCAGACTGTCAGCTTTAATTTGAGGGTATTGTCATCCATATCGGGTGAATGTTTAGACATTTTGTACATAGTCCCTACGTTTTAGGGGACCAAAAGTATTGGGACAAATTCACTTGTGTGTGTTAAAATAGTCAAAATTGTAGTATTTGGTCCCATATTCCTAGCACGCAATGATTACATCAAGCTTGAGACTCTACAAAGTTGTTGGATGCATTTGCTGTTTTATTTGGTTGTGTTTCAGATTATTTTGTGCCCAATAGAAATTAATGGTAAATAATGTATTGAGCCATTTTGGAGTCACTTTTATTGTAAATAAGAAAACAATATGTTTCTAAACACTTCTACATTAATGTGGATGCTACCATGAATACAGACCGTCCTGGATGAATCATGAATAATGAAGAGTGAGAAAGTTAGACTCATAATTATCATACCCCCCAAAAAATGTTAGCCTCCCCTGTTATTGTAATGTTGAGAGGTTAGCATGTCATGGGGGTATGATATTTGTGCGTCTCTAACTTTCTCGCTCATCATTATTGACACTTCATTCAGGACTATCCGTAATCATGGTAGCATCCACATTAATGTAGAAGTGTTTAGAAACATATTCTATTCTTATTTACAATACAATTGACTCCAAAATGACACAATACATTATTTACCGTTCATTTCTATTGGGCACAAAATAATCTGAAAAACAACCAAAACAAACAGCAAATTCATCCAACATGTTTGTAGAGTCACAAGCTTGATGTAGTCATTGTGTGCTATGAATATGGGACAAAATACTTAACTTTTTACTACTTTAATGCACATAAGTGAATTTGTCCCAATACGTTTGGTCCCCATGTTTAGGGGACTATGTACAAAAAGTGCTGTAATTTCTAAACGGTTCACTCGATAGAAATGTGTCACTGTCCCAATACTTTTGGAGCTCGCTGTATTTGATGGACTGGAAGATCAGTTAGTCGACAGGAAGAAATCCCCTGTCGTTATGTATTCTTCTCTCAATGCATCCATGCTCCTATCCACTCTGCTGTTAGGAATGTGCAATGAGCCATACTACTGGACAGTACTATCCGTCCATCGCCTGCCGCTGCTGTTCACTTGCCCCTATTCCAGAGAGCATCAGGACTCTGTGGCAGCCGGGTCTTTGGGTTGACAGACCAGGGCAATGAACCAGATGCTGTCCTCTTCGTCTGTCTCTAGTCTCTGTGCTGCCATCGCCCTGTGGGCCAGAGAAAGATGAATGTCTGTTCCATTAAACCCCCCACAGAGTCTATAGACAGTCTAGATGGCTGGGCTGTATCTGTCCGACATCATTGTGGAAGACAGACAGGATCTAGGATCAGTTCGTCCTACCCAAGCTCTGAACATAACCATTGGGGAAGAATAATGCAAAACTGACCTTGGATCAGAGTCTGGAGAGTTACGCCACTACTGACATCGTGTTTCACTTAACTCTGCTCCATGTCATTCCCCATTGCTTGCCTTTGACTGTCTCACTAAATTCTTTCCCCCCACCCCTCCCTCAGGGAACTACATGGGCCGTGGAACGACGGGCATGTGTGTGCGCTTCGTTCCGGCCCACCTGTCCAACAAGTCGTGTCGTGTGACGTCGCTGTGCTACAGCGGGGATGGGCAGGAGGTGCTGGTCAGCTACTCTTCAGACTATGTCTACCTGTTTGACCCCAATAATGACCAGGCCCGAGAGCTGAAGGGTCCGTCCGAGGAGAGGAGGGAGGAGGTGAGGAGAGGGCGGAAGAGGCGCCGCCATTTTGATTTGAGCTAATTATGAGGTGTATGTTTCTTTATGCAAATTTGAATTTAGCAATTTGGTTTGGACAGTTCTCCATAAACAAAATAGATTTACACTGTTGTGTGCATATCATCAATTATCCTTGTCATTGTGCATAATTGCAGTGTCGGGCCTGAGTATAGCTGGTTGAGTCTGTTACTGTTAGTTGGGTACCATCTGTGATGCGGTACAGTGAAACGGACGGCAGGCAGGCAGGGTGAGGGCTGAGCACTGAGAGCCACACAGAGATCCACACTGCTGCAGTGCGAACAGGCTTCAGGGGATCACAGGGAGAAGACTACTGCACACACAGTCAGGCTAGGATATGTGTGCGTGCGCTGTGTATGCCCCTCTGTGAAAGTCTGTGTATACCAGGGGAGAACGACTGCCCCCTCTCATTGAAGCCGCGGAAGATCAAGGCCAACCGCAGTACTCAGGCATTTTTAGCAGATAACAGGACCCCCCCCCATTATAGTGAATGGTGGTCTTCGTGGTCAATCTTGGTGTAAATAAAACAACGTTTTGAAGACAATCATGGTACCAATAATTGCTTCTAATACACCAGATGTATGTCCTTGAACCGATTTATCGCACACATAATAAGTTATAAGGATAATTTAGTTGATAGTGGCAGCCTGCAGTACCTCGGTTGGCCTTCAAATTAGTTACTCAATGAGAAGGGGGCAGCACTGAGCTATCCTGCAACGTCACTTCCTGGAGAAGCTCAAATTATAGCTCCGTGAGCTCAAACTTAACTGACTTCATTTGGCTTAAGTGAGCTATTGAGTCTTCATAGGAATGAATGGTGTCACGTGAGCAATGGCTTTGTCCATTCAAATATACAATCATTGGTGTATATGTACTTCAGTGTTTTTCCACACTCTGTGTGTATTAAAAACATTAAAGGTCCATTACATGAGTGATTGTGGGATTTTATCATGGTACCATGTTTATTGTCCATATGGGACTTTGCTGGGAGCATAAACACACAGATGGCCAGACAGAAATACACTCTCAAGCCAAGGGGATGTTGATTGTAAACAGACAGAGCTGGCTTTGTGTTGAGCGGCTCTCACAACTAAAGTGCTCTCAGGGCATCTCCTGTTAAAGCGTTGTGTGGTGGAAGCGCTCTCAGGGCATCTCCTGTTAAAGCGTTGTGTGGTGGAAGCGCTCTCAGGGCATCTCCTGTTAAAGCGTTGTGTGGTGGAAGCGCTCTCAGGGCATCTCCTGTTAAAGCGTTGTGTGGTGGAAGCGCTCTCAGGGCATCTCCTGTTAAAGGGAGGGGGGGGGGGGGGGGGGTGTGTAAGAAATGTGCTGGATCACCTCAGCTGTTGGATAGTGTGTTCAGCTGTGCCTGGATTCACCCAGCTCTGTCTCCCACATGCCTTTCCAAATACAGTGCCCGGCGCAGGCAATTTTCCACCACCCACCCCACCAAAATAGACCAGGACGGGGACTGTAGGGCCTGCCAAGGAGTTTACCTCTTTCTCTCTCTCTTCTGGACCCTCCCTCGCTCTCACCCATCTCTCTTCCTCCTTTAACCATCATCTTGTTACTCCTGCGACCCTACTTGAGCTCGGTTCGCGTTCCCCTTCAGCCCTCTCACCCTCTCACCTCCACCTGTCTCTCTCTCCTTAGCTCCCCTCTGCTTTTTACCCTCTCACCTCCACCTGTCTCTCTCTCCTTAGCTCCCCTCTGCTTTTTACCCTCTCACCTCCACCTGTCTCTCTCTCCTTAGCTCCCCTCTGCTTTTTACCCTCTCACCTCCACCTGTCTCTCTCTCCTTAGCTCCCCTCTGCTTTTTACCCTCTCACCTCCACCTGTCTCTCTCTCCTTAGCTCCCCTCTGCTTTTTACCCTCTCACCTCCACCTGTCTCTCTCTCCTTAGCTCCCCTCTGCTTTTTAACCCTCTCACCTCCACCTGTCTCTCTCTCACCTCCACCTGTCTCTCTCTCACCTCCACCTGTCTCTCTCTCCATGCAGTTGTCATTTTCTATCTCTGGTCTCAGTGGAAGTTGTTCTCATTCTGTTCCACATTCTCACTCTCTCTCTCTCGCCACTGAAGCTGGCTGTCCCCCTCTCTCTCTGTCCCCAGGGGAGGAGCAGAGGCACCTGTGTTGGGTGACCAGGTCCCTGGCTCTAGGCCTGTTGTCCTGTGTGTTGGAGACGGCCAGAGGAAAGTGAATCCCCCACCTGTAGTGCAGAGAGAGGAGTGTTTGGGGGGGGGGGGGGGGTCTAAGTAGGACAGTAACAGGTACTGTGCCATGTTTTGCTTGGCAGTGGGGCTATTTTTAACTGTGCTTAGACTTGACTGCATGTTCATGTTTTGTGTGTATGTCCTCAGCTGCGTCAACCCCCAGTGAAGCGTCTTCGTCTACGAGGTGACTGGTCTGACACCGGTCCCCGAGCTCGCCCTGAGAGCGAGAGAGAGCGGGACGGTAAGAGTACACAGAATCACGCTTACAACACACACACACACACACACACACACACACACATTTTCTCTCTTACTCCCTTCTCTATCGCCTCCTGTCTCTCTCCCTCTCCTTCCAAATGCCAATTTCAATTCCATTAGGCTTTATTGGTATGAACACATAAGAAAAACAATAACACACACTCTCGCTCACGCTCTCTCACACTCACGCTTTCACTCACTCACTCACTCACTCACTCACTCTCACTCACTCACTCACTCACTCACTCACTCACACACACACACACACACACATATATATATATATATATATATATATATATATATATATATTTTTTTTTTTGTTCAAAAATTCAAGCAGCTCGGCTTTGTTTGATGGCTTGTGACCATCCATCTTCCTCTTGATCACATTCCAGAAGTTTTCAATGGGGTTCAGGTCTGGAGATTGGGCTGGCCATGACAGGGTCTTGATCTGGTGGTCCTCCATCCACACCTTGATTGACCTGGCTGTGTGGCATGGCACATTGTCCTGCTGGAAAAACCAATCCTCAGAGTTGGAACAATGTCAGAGCAAAAGGAAGCAAGTTTTGGCTTGATTCATGCGTCCTTCACAAATACAAATCTGCCCGATTCCAGCCTTGCTGAAGCACCCCCAGATCATCACCGATCCTCCACTAAATTTCACAGTGGGTGCGAGACACTGTGGCTTGTAGGCCTCTCCAGGTCTCCGTCTAAACATTAGACGACCAGGTGTTGGGCAAAGCTGAAAATTGGACTCATCAGAGAAGATGACCTTCCTCCAGTCCTCTACGGTCCAATCCTTATGGTCTTTTGCAAACCTCAGCCTGGCTCTTCTTTGCTTCTCATTGATGAAGGGCTTTTTTCTAGCTTTGCACGACTTCAGCCCTGCCCCTAGGAGCCTGTTTCGAACCGTCCTCGCCGTGCACTTCACCCCAGCTGCCGTTTGCCATTCTTTTTGTAGGTCACTTGATGTCATCCTACGGTTGTTGAGTGACATTCGAATGAGTTGGCGGTCATCCCGGTCAGTAGAGAGTCGTTTTCGCCCTCTGCCGGTCTGTAGCTTTGTTGTCCCCAATGTCTGCTGGTTGACCTTGTTCTTATGAACCGCTGTCTTTGACATTTTAAGGATGGAAGCAACCTGACGCTCACTGTATCCCTCTGCCAGTAAAGCCAGAATTGAACCCTTCTTTTCCTCAATCAAAACTTTCCTTTTCAACTCTTGGGCAATAGTAATTTTTTTGATTAATATTACTTTTGAGGTACTATTAGCACTGTTTTTGCCATCCTGCTGGTCCTATTGCAAGAAGATAGTGATGACCACAGCACTGGTTTTTATACTTTTCCTCGTTAAATAAGATTTGGTTCATGTGATCACCTAATCAGTACCTAATTCAGTAGAATGAGGTGTGCCTGTGTTGGAATTCAACAGACACTGGAATGGAATGGCTGTCATACATGTAGAGATGCTGATTTAAGAACAATTTGCAGCGGTCTCTTAATTTTTTCCACGTGTGTGTGTGTGAGAGAGAGCGTGTGTTATTGTTCCAACTTCAACTATCTATATATATATATATACACACACAGTTGAAGTTGGAAGTTTACATACACTTAGGTTGGAGTCATTAAAACTCATTTGTCAACCACACTTTAGTTTTTGTAAATCGGTTATGACATCTACTTTGTGCATGACACAAGTAATTTTTCCAACAATTGTTTACGGACAGATTATTTCACTTATAATTCACTATCATATAATTCCAGTAGGTCAGAAGTTTACATGCACAAAGTTGACTGTGCCTTTAAACAGCTTGGAAAATTCCTGAAAATTATGTCATTACTTTAGAAGCTTATGATTGGCTAATTTACATAATTTGAGTCAATTGGAGGTGTACCTGTGGATGTAGTTCAAGGCCTACCTTCAAACTCTGCCTTTGCTTGACATCATGGGAAAATCAAAAGAAATCAGCCAAAGAAAAAGCCATATCTCAGACTGGCCAATAAAAAGAAAATATAATGTATTTTTCTTTGCAACTCTGCCTAGAAGGTCAGCATCCCAGAGTCGCCTCTTCACTGTTGACGTTGAGACTGGTGTTTTGCGGGTACTATTTAATGAAGCTGCCAGTTGAGGACCTGTAAGGCGCCTGTTTCTCAAACTAGACACTAATGTATTTGTCCTCTTGCTCAGTTGTGCCTCCTACTCCTCTTTCTATTCTGATTAGAGCCAGTTTGCGCTGTTCTGTGAAGTGAGTAGTACACAGCGTTGGATGAGATCTTCAGTTTCTTGGCAATTTCTCGCATAGAATAGCCTTCATTTCTCAGAACAAGAATAGACTGACGAGTTTCAGAAGAAAGTTATTTGTTTCTGGCCATTTTGAGCCTGTAATAAAACCCACAATTGCTGATGCTCCAGATACTCAACTAGTCTCAAGAAGGCCAGTTTTATTGCTTCTTTAATCAGCACAACCGTTTTCAGCTGTGCTAACATAATTGCAAAAGGGTTTTATAATGATAAACTTGGATTAGCAAACACAACGTGCCATTGGAACACAGGACTGATGGTTGCTGATAATGGGCCTCTGTACGCCTATGTAGATATTCCATTAAAAATAAGCCGTTTCCAGCTACAATAGCCATTTACGACATTAACAATGTCTGCACTGTATTTCTGATCAATTTGGAGAAAAAAAAGTTTTTCTTTCGAAAACAAGGAAATTTCTAAGTGACCCCAAACTTTTGAACGGTAGTGTACATACATACACACACTCTCACACTCACTACCGGTCAAAAGTTTTAGAACACCTACTCATTCAAGGTTTTTTCTTTTATGTTGACTATTTTCTACATTGTAGAATAATAGTGAAAACATCAAAACTATGAAATAACACATATAGAATCATTTACATTTACGTCATTTAGCAGACACTCTTATCCAGAGCGACTTACATGTAGTAACCAAAAAAGTGTTAAACAAATCAAAATATATTTTGTATTTGAGGTTCTTCAAATTGCCACCCTTTGCCTTGATGACAGCTTTGCACACTCTTGGCATTCTCTCAACCAGCTTCATGAGGTAGTCACCTGGAATGCATTTCAATTAACAGGTGTGCCTTCTTAAAAGTTAATTTGTGGAATTTCTTTCCTTCTTAATGCGTTTGAACCAATCAGTTGTGTTGTGACAAGGTAGGGGGGGTATACAGAAGATAACTCTATTTGGTAAAAGACCAAGTCCATATTATGGCAAGAACAGCTCAAATAAGCAAAGAGAAACGACAGTCCATCATTACTTTAAGACATGAAGGTCAGTCAATACGGAACATTTCAAGAACTTAGAAAGTTTCTTCAAGTGAAGTCGCAAAAAACATCAAGCGCTTTGATGAAACTGGCTCTCATGAGGACCGCCACAGGAATGGAAGACCCAGAGTTACCTCTGCTGCAGAGGATAATTTCATTAGAGTTACCAGCCTCAGAAATTGCAGCCCAAATAAATTCTTCACAGAGTTCAAGTAACAGACACATCTCAACATCAACTGTTCAGTGGAGGCTGTGTGAATCAGGCCTTCATGGTCGAATTGCTGCAAAGAAACCACTACTAAAGGACACCAATAATAAGAAGAGACTTGCTTGGGCCAAGACACACGAGCAATGGACATTAGACCGGTGGAAATGTGTCCTTTGGTCTGGAGTCCAAATTGGAGATCTCTGCATGTTTTTCAACAGGACAATGACCCACCACACCTCCAGGCTGTGTAAGGGCTATTTTACCAAGAAGGAGAGTGATGGAGTGCTGCATCAGATGATCTGGCCTCCACGATCACCCAACCTCAACCCAATTGAGATGGTTTGGGATGAGTTGGACCGCAGCGTGAAGGAAAAGCAGCCAACAAGTGCTCAGCATATGTGGGAACTCGAGACTGTTGGAAAAGCATTCCAGGTGAAGCTGGTTGAGAGAATGCCAAGAGTGTGCAAAACTGTCATCAAGGCAAAGGGTGGCTACTTTGAAGAATCTCAAATGTAACATATATTTTGATTTGTTTAACACTTTTTTGGTTACTACATGATTCCATATGTGTTATTTCATAGTTTTGATTTCTTCACTATTATTCTACAATGTAGAAAATGGTAAAAATAAAGAAAAACCCTTGAATGAGTAGGCGTTCTAAAACTTTTGACCGGGTATGTGTGTGTATATATATATATATATATACACACACACACTGATAACTCTCCACGTCTCCTCCATCTCCTCTAACTGAGAGCTCTAATCTCTCCCCCAGAGCCCTGCCACTGCCTCTCATTGCTAACGGGGCCCATCTCTGTCCATGGGGATCTCGTTAGCTTGAGCTCTCACTGACTCACAGCTTATACCGGGCCCAGTTGAGACTGTGATGAAGCTGCCGCTTGCTATCACAGACTTTTTATAGACGTTAGGGTAATGTAGATGTTAGTGTATTGTATAGGTAGAGTAAGGAGAAGGGAACTTTTTCCCTACTAGGTCAGCAGTTTTAATGTCTGGATGATGCAGTGGATTGGTAGTCCGCTGTTGGCTATTGAAGGACTTATGCATTATACGTCAAGCTATACCCTGATACCATTAACTCATTCTGGCCCAGGCAGCACTGTTCATACTGTCAGGGGTGGGACACAAGGATTCTCTAGACCAGGGGTCTCCAAACTTTTCTAGCATGAGAGTTACTTAAAAGAATTCAACATTACGAGGTACTAAGCACACTCTTCTCTTCTCCCCTTCAACTCTTCCCCGGGAGAAAGTAGTGCACTATGTGTTCTGTCAATATACCTGGTCAAATAATGGTTACAAAATAAAACTCTAAAGGGGGGGTCCTATAAAATCTAAAATAATTCTCCCAAATTATGTTTTCTATTTTCCCAAATTATTTTTTCTCAGTTTTATTTTTCCCGGTTTTAGATATGTTTTGCTTTTCACACTGAAATTACAATAGTTCATAGAAAAACAACGAAATTGGATGTTCTGAGTCCATGTCAATGCTTAAATCACATCAGAAGACACTTCTTTTTAAGGAAGAAAACGAACACGTTTAGATTTTCGAGTGTAATTCCCCCTTTTAACTGCACAACTAGAGTGAGGAATGTGCCGGTCTAGCAATGCTGCTGATGCTGCTAATTTCATAGCAATGTCTGCAAATAACTAATAATACATACAAATGTATATACTTACTCATGATATACTTCTGCCAGGTAAGCCTACTTTGCAGTTAACATTTAATTGAGAAGGTTTTGGGGGATGTATTTCTGTCAAACCTCATGATTATCACTTCAACTGGCTACACACGGAGTGATCGACAAATGCACGCACCACACAGACAGACGTGCAATATTGGCAGATATTGTGTTAGGTTTGGCTTTGTGTGGGAGCTTGCTGTGTCTGATACTTGTGAGATTTGTTTATGATAGTTTGCAGTGGAACACGTGGAAAATTGCATGTACTTTCAGAATAGTTTGGCGAGGAACTCATAGGTGGTCTGCGAGCTACTGGTATCTGGGGATCAACCTGTTGGAGACCCCTTCCCTAGACAGATAGTAAAGGGGGCAACAACAACAGTAACTTTGTGGGTTTTCAATGGAATGTTGTGCTGAGAAATGCAAGCCAGTCATGTCTCATTCATGCTAACTCGGTCTCTGACCTTTGACCCCCCCCCCCCCCCCCCCCCCACCCTCCAGGAGAGCAGAGCCGCAACGTGTCGCTGATGCAGAGGATGTCGGACATGTTGTCCCGCTGGTTCGAGGAGGCCAGTGAAGCCCAGGTGGGCCGGGGGACCACGCGCCCTCAGACACGCCCTAGAGGTGAGATACTGGGACAGGGTAGTGGTTGGCCTGATGCCACAGATCTATGATCTTATTTATTTATTTGGCCCTTTATTTCTGGAGCCGGGTTTGCACCAATGTTTTGTTTGAAGTGGGAAATTATAAAATGGAATCGAATGCAATCGAATGCAATGAATACAATTCGATACAACAGAATATAACTTTATGAAAAGACATGCTTCAGAAAAATCCCTCAGAAAATGTATGACAAAAAAACATATTTCATGCATCTCCTCCAGGCACTCTTCCTCGCATAGAGGGGACTTCTACAACCCCCACCATTCCAACGCTCCCTACAACACCCCCTCCACAAGAAGCCAGAGCCCCAGAGGGCTCCGTGGAAATGGAGGCCCCTGCCATCACCACTGTATCTGTACTCCTTCCCAAGTCCACCTGCTCCTCAGGGTCATCGTCTACGGTTACAGCACCTCCCCCGTCAACCTCCTCACCCATGGAGGGCTCGGTGCCTCCCTCATCCGCCCTCACCTCCTCCCCAGACTCAGAGCAGGGGAGTCAGGCAGACACGGCTGTGACTCCGACGCCAACACCCACCACAGAGGCTGCTCTGTCTGGTAAGTGTCGCATAAAGAGATCACACACACACACTGAGTACTTCAACCAAAACTGCCATTTTAGCTCTCCAGTCCGGTAAGATGTAATTTTTCCCATAAGAGGGCAGAGTCATCATATTTGATTTGAGGAGAGCCAACAGCTGACTCACAGTTAGGGTTGCAAAGGGAGGGTATATTACTGGAAACTTTATACGTTTACCAGTAAACTACCAGAATGTTAAATAGAAATTACCAAAGTTAGATTAGATTGTCATGGATTTTCTGTTAATTACCTAAATTCCTTTAAATTACCGGTAGCTTTCCAACCCTTCTCACAGTAAACTGGCACAAGCAGACCATATCACTGTGTGTGTGTGTGTGTGTGTGTGTGTGTGTGTGTGTGTGTGTGTGTGTGTGTATACAGTCTATAGGAGTGTGTGTGGGAGCTGCCTTACCCTCTCCTTCTACTGTTTCCATTATTTTCCTTTATTGCCTCTCGCCGATTACCCCTCCTCCTCTTCCTCCTCCTCCTTTCTTTCTCATCTCTCCACCTCTCTATCCCTCATCTCTCCACCTCTATCCCCCTCGTCTCCCACCTCTCTATCCCTCGTCTCTCCACCTCTCTATCCCCCTCGTCTCTCCACCTCTCTATCCCTCTCGTCTCTCCACCTCTCTATCCCCTCGTCTCTCCACCTCTCTATCCCCCTCGTCTCTCCACCTCTCTATCCCTCTCGTCTCTCCCACCTCTCTATCCCCTCGTCTCTCCACCTCTCTATCCCCTCTCCTCCTCCACCTCTATCCCCTCGTCTCTCACCTCTCTATCCCCCTCGTCTCTCCACCTCTCTATCCCTCTCGTCTCTCCACCTCTCTATCCCTCTCGTCTCATCTCCACCTCTCTATCCCCCTCGTCTCTCCACTCTCTACTCCTCTCTATCCCTCGTCTTCTCTCTACCCCTCGTCTATACTCTATCCCTCTCGTCTCTCCACCTCTCTATCCCTCTCGTCTCTCCACCTCTCTATCCCTCTCGTCTCTCCCCTCTCTATCCCTCTCTCTCTCCTCTACCTCTCTCTCCCCTCTCTATCCCTCGCTCTCCACCTCTCTATCCCTCGTCTCCCACTCTCTATCCCTCTCGTCTCTCCACCTCTCTATCCCTCTCGTTCTCTCCACCTCTCTATCCCCCTCGTCTCTCCACCTCTATCCTCTCTCTATCCCCTTCTTCTCTCTCGCTACATCCCCTCTCTATCCCCTCGTCTCTCCCACCTCTCTATCCCTCTCGTCTCTCCACCTCTCTATCCTCAGTCCTCCCTACCCCTCGTCTCTCCACCTCTCTATCCCTTCTCTCTCCTCTATCCCTCTCTCCCCTCTCTCCACTCTCTATCCTCTCGTCTCTCCTACCTCGTCTCCCACTTCTATCCCTCTCGTCTCTCCACCTCTCTATCCCCTCTCTCCTCCCACCTCTCTATCCCTCGTCTCTCCACTCTCTACCCTCGTCTCTCCCTCTCTCTCCACCCTCGTCTTCCACCCCTCACCTCGTCTCTCTCCCTCTCTATCCCTCTCGTCTCTCCACCTCTCTATCCCTCTCGTCTCTCTCTCCACCTCTCTATCCCTCTCGTCTCTCCACCTCTCTATCCCTCTCCTTCTCTCTATCCCCTCTCCTCCACTCTATCCCCTCTCTCTCTCCCCTCTCCCTCTCTCCACCTCTCTCCCTCTCTCTCCCTCCTCGTCCTCTCCACCTCTCTATCCCTCTCGCTCCTCTTCTCTCACCTCTCTATCCCTCTCTCTCTCTCATCCCTCGTCTCTCCACCTCTCTATCCCTCTCGTCTCTCCACCTCTCTCTCCCTCTCTCTATCTCTCCACCTCTCTATCCCTCTCGTCTCTCCACCCTCTACCTTGCTCCCTCTCTATCCCTCGTCCTCTCCACCTCTCTATCCCTCTCGTCTCTCCACCTCTCTATCCCTCTCGTCTCTCCACTCTCTATCCTCGTCTCTCCACTCTCATCCCTCTCGTCTCACCTCTCTATCCCTCTCGTCTCTCCACCTCTCTATCCCTCTCGTCTCTCCACCTCTCTATCCCTCTCCACTCTCTATCCCTCGTCTCTCCACCTCTCTATCCCTCTCGTCTCTCCACCTCTCTATCCCTCTCGTCTCTCCACCTCTCTATCCCTCTCGTCTCTCCACCTCTCTATCCCTCGTCTCTCCACCTCTCTATCCCTCTCGTCTCCATCCTACCCTCTCTTCCCACTCTCTATCTCTCTCACCCTTCCCCTCGTCTTCCACTCTCTATCTCTTCCTCCACCTCTCTATCCCCCTCGCTCTCTCCACCTCTCTATCCCCATCTCTCCCACCTCTCTATCCCTCATCTCTCCACCTCTCTATCCCCCTCGTCTCTCCACCTCTCTATCCCTCATCTCTCCACCTCTCTATCCCCCTCGTCTCTCCACCGCTCTATCCCTCTCGTCTCTCTACTGCTCTATCCCTCTCGTCTCTCCACCTCTCTGTCAGAGTACAGCCCTCACCGGCTGCCGGTAAGTTTAGTGTGTAGGCGCTTGCAGCGGCTGCTCATGTTGGCCGACGCACCAGGACAAAGCCAATCCCCTTCCTCCACTGAGAGCCAATCACAGGGGGCTGTTGCTGCTGCCACCAAGACGGCCCCCCATACAGGTTACAGTCACTCTCCCATTGCTGACTACAAATGTATCTATAACTGGGCTAATAACTCACTAACTAGCAAAGGATATGAACAAATGTGCACACGTCGCTACATGTAGCTCTCGCTTTGATCTCAAAACAAGTGCATCTACTCACGACCGCTCATGCTGTAAAAACAGTCCAGTTCAAAGTGAATGGCACAGATCCATATATGGCAATGGTCTATTTGCATATAGGCCTACTGCAGCTCTGATTGGTTATGCCGCACCGGTTTGTGTAGAGTACGGGCTGAATCGTGCATGTCAATGGAATCATACTCTGATGCGTTCTACCTACAACAGTTTTGCATACGAACTCTTGCATAGTTAGTTTTGTTTTGGTATGTTGCATTGAAAATGACTAATATTGCGTTGATTCGATCACAATTCCCACAGAAAAGGAAAACGTTGATCGTGTTCATTGAACTTTCTAGAGTTTACCCTGTTAAGTTCATTCTCGTGCTTCTCTGCGCGGGCTGATATTTCTTCTGCGCGGCAGTACCAGGGGGAGCTGCGCGCCCGCTCATGCACGCAGCTTAAAGGGAACATTGCTCCTGTCCCCACACCCATACTCCCTTTTACCTCTTCTACCCAGCTCACCACTCCCTCTACCCAAAATTCCATATGCCCCTCAGACTTTTTAAATGTACTACAAACTCCACTCCGTTGATCTACGTGCGCGTGGGTGGAGTGGGATTTTTGGAGGAGCGGACATCTTTTGGTAACATGATATCCTCACCGGTCCCACTCCCATTCAAAGTCTCTTATTTTTTTTTACTTTTCATTTTGTGTAAACCTTCCCTTGCTAGTAGTAGATAGCTGGCAACCTGGCTAGCTGGCTTTAGCCTGGCTAAAAACGTCAAGCTACAGTGCCTTCAGAAAGTATTCACACGCCTTGACTTTTTTCACATTTTGTTACAAAGTGGGATTAAAATGGATTTAATTGTTATTTTTTTGTCAACGATCGACACAATACTCTGTCAAAGTGGAAGAAAAACTCTAACTTTAAAAAATAATTATTGCTGGAAAATAAAACACGAATATATCTTGATTAGATAGGTATTCAACCCCATGAGTCAATACATGTTAGAATCAACTTTTGGCAGCAATTACAGCTGTGAGTCTTTCTGGGTAATCTCTAAGAGTTTTGCAAACCTGGATTGTACATTATTAGCATATTCTTTAAAAAATTAATCAAGCTTGGCCTTGTGATTGTCCTGCTGAAAGGTGGGTTTGTCTCCCAGTTTCTGTTGGAAAGCTGACTGAAACAGGTTTACCTCTAGGATTCTGCCTGTGCTTAGCTCTATTCCTTTTATTTTTATACTATAAAACGTCCTAGTCCTTGCCGATGACAAGCATAACATGATGTATCAATCACCATGCTTGAAAATATAAAGAGTGGTACTCGGTGATGTGTTGAATTTGCCCCAAACATAACCCTTTGTATTCAGGACAAAAGGTTAATTTCTTACCCTCTTTTTTTTCAGTATTACTTTAGTGCCTAATTGCAAACAGGATGCATGTTTTGGAATATTTTTATTCTGTACAGGCTTCCTTCTTTTGACTCCGTCATTTAGGTTAGTATTGTGGAGTAACTACAATGTTGTTGATCCATCCTCAGTTATCTCCTATCACAGCCATTAAACTCTTTAACTGGTTTAAAATCACCATTGGCCTTAAGGTGAAATCCCTGAGCGGTTTCCTTCCTCTCCATCAACTGAGTTAGGAAGGATGCCTGTATCTTTGTAGTGACTGGGTGTATTGATACACCATCCGAAGTGTAATTAATAACTTCACCATACTCAAAGGTTATAATCAGTGTCTGTTTATTTGATATATAGTTTTTTTATCCATCTACCAATAGGTGCCCTTGGTGAGGCATTGGAAAACCTCCCTCCCTGGTCTTTGTCGTTGAATCTGTCCTTCAAATTCACTGCTCGATTGAGGAACCCTACAGATAGTTGTGTGTGTGGGGTACAGAGATGGGGTAGTCATTCAAAAGTCATGTTAAACACCATTATTGCAAATAGAGTTATTCTATGCAACTTATTATGTGACATGTTAAGCACATTTTTACTCCTTTTTTTATTAATTTGTAAACATCTCTAAAACATAATTCCACTTTGACATTATGGGGTATTGTGTGTAGATCAGTGACACAAAATCTAAATTTAATCAATTTGAAAAGTTATGCTGTAACACAACAAAGTGGGAAAAAGTAAAGGGGTGTGAATATTTTCTGAAGGTACTGTAGCTAGCCTTTTTAGCTTCCTACATTGCCATATGAAATCAGATTTATAATTAAATATATATACAGTGGGGAGAACAAGTAT